CCGGCTGGACACCGAGCCTCCCTGGGAGGCAGGTGGTCCGGAGGCCCCGCACGCACCTGTGCTCCCTTCCCCTCTGCCGGGCTTCGGCGGGCAAAAATACGGGCATCCCCTTGATGCCGGCGTTCAGCTCCCTCTAGAGTCGGCGCTGGGAGAGCTGGGCCTCGGAGAGCTCCGCCGCCAGACGGGCTGCCTCTGGCACCGGCAGAGCCGAGGCTGGAGCTGCTTGGGAGTCTCCAGTTTATCGACCGTGTTTTCACATCCCAACTTCCCCCTTTTCCAGCGGGAGACCCAAGGCAATCAAACCCGCCCCGCAGGGAAACCTAGAATTTCTACCGCTCTCCTCTTTTCCGTGCGTTTTCCTTGCTACGAGGAACGACTCGCCGCGTGGCCTCGGTGCACTAAAAAAGCGAAACTGCAACCTCCTGACGGATGCTTCCCGGCGAGCTGCCCCCAAAACTCCAGCAGTCTGGCCAAAATTTCATATCGGGCAGGCTTTCTTTTTCCTTATTTATCTGTTTATTTTGGAAAGTTGCTGGGGAGATGGTGGGAGGGGCCGGACGCTGTGTTCAAGAGATAGGATCCTTGGAAGAAGAAGAAGAAGAAAAAAAAAATCAGTGGCAGCCCGGTAATTACTCTAACTTTTTAATGCCCTTTGCGGAAAACAGGGTGGCCCAATGTGCATTTGACTTGGGTGGCTTTGGGGCAGGCTGCGCTTGGGACTATATTTGGAAAGGTTTTGCTTGGGCTTTTTTTTTTTTTTCCCCCTTTTTTTCCTTTTGGTCCCCACGCCACGAGGATGCCGATGGCCTGGAAATGGCTTCAGCGATGCCTTGGTGCTGAGGAGCCCGTTTGGGGCCGGGGCGTGCGGGAACGCCGCGCTCGGGGCGCTAGGGTCCTCCGCGGGATGAATCCACAGGCTGCCCGTTCCCTCCGACACTCGTTGCAGCCCTTTAGTGGAGGGAGGCTGGACCTTGGCCACTTCACCCGTTGCCAGCCAGAGGCCGGGGAGTTTCCTGGGCTGTTTCCCAAGAGCCGCATTTTCTCCTGCCTCTTCCCAGGCCGGGCTCCCAGGAAGAGCGCGCTTCCCGCCGGCAGCGGAATTGCCACAGGGATACAGTGGTGGGGTGCACGCAGCCTCACTTCCCTCCCCTCAGAGCATCACAGCCAGTGTCCGTTCGGGAATATCCCTCTGGATATTCCAGCCACGGCCTGCTCAAGACCCCGGATGAAGGGGGTCTCCAGGGAGCGAGCGCTTTATCCCGGACCCCACAGCTCAGGATGCGCCGCGGGGTCTGTAGCAAAGGCTTCTCGGGGAGGTTTTGCACGTGGCGCTCCGGCTGTGCACCGCGGCCGAGCGTTTTCCAGCCCTCCGTAATCCCCCGTCTCTTAATAACATTATTTGTGAATTGCTCCCGGGCAGGGGGAAGCAAAGTGGGAGCTACGCGGGTCTTCCCTGGTGCTTGGGCACAAAAAAGAGTCTGGTGACGGGCTGGGGACCGCCGCGTCCTGCGCTGGGTGCTTTGGGTCCTGGCTTAGTGCGGACCTGGGGGTTTTCTCCTTCCAAAGGGCCGTGCTTCTGCCCTCCTTCACCCGCAGCGAGCTGGGTGGGGAGGTCGGGTGGCCAAAGTTCGATATGACAAAGTTCAAGTGACTTATTAATCCAATTCATTTTTTTTTCTTAATTATTTGTTGCATACTTTTGCTGGCATGACGCTACCGGTGCTTGGATTCTTTCAGGACTGTGAAGCTGGTCCAAAGCGTGGTGGGATTCTCCAGTTCTGGAGGACCTGGATCAGTGACCCGCAGTGTAATGCTTCCTCCAGGACCATCTGTTTCCCCTCCTTGCCAAGGGGATTTCACAATGCTGGATCACTCTGAATAACCATACGTGTGCAAGGAGCTGACTTGCCATGGAGAGAAAATTCCCCCAGCAAGGGCAGGTGGATGATGCCCTGGGTTGGCTGCTGAAACCCTTCAGAAGGGGATGGCGTAGACCACGCGGCACAGTGATATTTCATGCCCACACTGTTCATGCCTATATATATACATGTATATATATATTTATTTTTATAAATATATGTATATATGATTTTTTAAAGGCACTCTGGAGCTATAGGTGATAAAACGAGCTGATACCCAGCCTGTATTTTGACAGCCCCTTTCATCAACCGTCTCGAAGACGTGGTCCGAAGCTGCGCGAAACGCACCCGGGATCGCAGCTGCCGGGTGACTAACTCGTGTTTCGGCTCAACTTCCATGGCTCTTGAGCTCACATCTGCTTCCAATTAGCCGCCTGCCAAACGGCCTGCAACGAGGTGCTCTTCTTTAAGAACATGATGTTTTGAATTTCTCACTTCCCATTCGTGAGCGGCAGCTCCGTGGGAAGCAGAAGGCACGTGGAGCCGGGCACTGGGGCAGCGGGACCTTTTGGTGCATTAGCGGGATTTCTCCTGCAAAAGGCTGCACCCCTTTTTCATTACCTGCATTTGATTTTGCGATCTGTCTTAGGGGAGACTTGCTCCCCTCATTTGCCTTGTCTGCCCGCATCGCCCAGCTCGCTGAATTGCTCCTTCCTGCTCGGAATGCCTTTCCCACAATTAGGAAATTGCAGCAGGCAGGGAGGGCCCTACAGAATTCCCGGGAAAGAAATGTCATCGACTTGCATCAAACCATGGCAATCAAACTGCCACCGCCTTCATCCTGCTACAGCATCCTGCAATAAAAGCAAGCAGGGCAGAGGGCTTCTGGTCGAGTCATTTGTAGGCTCTGGTGAAGTAAATGTGCTGGCGTTGTTGTTTTCGGTCTTAGAAGCATGAAGTGTTGTGTGATAAATTAACTTGGAACGGAGAAAATATGGAGAAAATATGGAGAAAACGCAGGATTAATTACTAGGAATCAGGCTTTTATTGGCTAGCAAAATTGAGCTGGAAAGACCAAGCTCATGCAGACTCCTGCACTAAGCATCCCTACGTACTTTAGGAAAATGGGAAAGTGTGAGGCAGAGCAAGGGCAGGGATTGCTGCCGTGCCCACTGCAGGGAAGGGAGTGCAAAAAGCCTTGGAGCAGGAGCTGGCAAAGCTGACCCAGTGGGAAGAGAGCGTAGGGACAGGTTTCCTCTCAAAGCATGCCAAGAGATCCGTGCTTGGATGCACACGGGGCTCTTTCCAGCATCGGGAAGGTGCAAAGCGACGCGCTGTGGAAGAAATGGCTCCAAAATCATTAATTAAAGGCTGTCCTTCTGGTGTCCCTCATGACTGAGGGGCTGTGAGGAGCGTGGCTTTCCCAGGGCTGCCTCGTGCATTGTGCCGGCTTCGGATACGGAGCGCATGCTGGGCAGGACTGAGCATAAAAACGCTGTAAAATATGTAGCTTACAGTGATTCAAAGTATTAAAATATTTGAAAAACTTGGGGGGGAGGGTGACAGAGAAGAAAACTTATCTGTTTTCTCCCACTCTTACCGTGAACTTCAAGCGAGTCCTCAGTAATTTGGAAATGGGAGACAATCGTGCCAGCAGCGGAGCAGAATGATGTGTTTTAATTAGACGAGAAATAGGAAAACGCAATTAAAGAAATCAGCTTTTAGCAAAGAGAGGGGAGAAGCTGGAGTTAAATATCGGCTTAGCTGAAGGGGGTCGGGTGCCTGCAGGCAGCATCTGGACCCGTCTCTCGTGAGGTGACCTCGCTATAGATGGTGGATACGTGAAAATCCGTAGTAATCGTAATACAAATTGGGCCCCTTAAACGGGAGTTCTTCAGCAAAAGAGTAATTCCACTGGATTTTTGGGAGAGGCAGGAAACAACAGAGATCTTCCTTTCCACACGGTTTGTTTCTGGTTGGCCTTAGCTAACGCGTCTTTCCTTTGGTGTCCGCAGGTCGAGGACGTTTGGGAGCGGTTTGGCGGCAGCGGCCATGTCGCAAGCGACGCACGCGCCCGCCTTCCCGGGGGGTCTCCACCTCCTGAGCGTGGTGCTGGTGTTGCTGTGCCGCACAGACGGGGCGTACGCGGAGAGCCCGAGCGAAGAGCCGCTCAACGACACCGAGGAGTGCACCGGCTCCTACATCTGCAAGAAAGGTGTCATTTTGCCCATATGGGAACCCCAAGACCCCTCGTTTGGTGACAAAATCGCTCGGGCCACGGTGTACTTTGTAGCCATGGTGTACATGTTCCTGGGAGTATCCATCATAGCCGACCGCTTCATGTCCTCCATTGAAGTCATTACCTCCCAAGAACGGGAGATAACCATCAAGAAGCCCAACGGGGAGACCAGCAAGACCACAGTGAGGATCTGGAATGAGACTGTTTCCAACCTCACGCTGATGGCCTTGGGCTCGTCCGCCCCTGAGATCCTCCTGTCAGTCATTGAAGTCTGTGGTCACGGCTTCACAGCAGGGGACTTGGGGCCGAGCACCATTGTAGGGAGTGCTGCGTTTAACATGTTTGTCATCATTGCGATCTGCGTTTACGTTGTTCCTGATGGAGAGATAAGGAAGATCAAGCACTTGCGAGTGTTTTTTGTTACAGCAGCCTGGAGCATCTTTGCCTACACTTGGCTTTATATTATTTTATCTGTGTCGTCTCCTGGGATTGTGGAAGTTTGGGAAGGCTTGCTCACTTTCTTCTTCTTCCCTATCTGTGTGGTGTTTGCTTGGGTAGCTGACAGGAGGCTTTTATTTTACAAGTACGTCTACAAGAAATACCGGGCTGGCAAGCAGAGAGGCATGATCATCGAACACGAGGGTGACCGACCCTCCTCTAAAGCTGATATTGAGATGGATGGAAAAGTGGCCAATTCTCATGTGGAGAACTTCTTGGATGGGACACTGGTGTTGGCGGTCGATGAGAAAGACCAGGACGACGAGGAAGCCAGGAGGGAAATGGCTCGAATCCTGAAGGAGCTGAAACAAAAGCACCCCGACAAGGAAATTGAGCAGCTTATTGAGCTGGCCAACTACCAGGTCCTGAGCCAACAACAGAAGAGCAGGGCCTTTTATCGCATTCAGGCTACTCGGCTCATGACTGGGGCTGGCAACATCTTGAAGAGACATGCTGCAGACCAGGCCCGCAAAGCTGTCAGCATGCACGAGGTCAACAGTGAGGTGGCAGAAAATGATCCCATCAGCAAGCTCTACTTTGAGCAGGGCACCTATCAGTGTCTGGAGAACTGTGGCACCGTTGCTTTGACCATCATTCGCCGTGGAGGTGACTTGACCAAAACGGTGTACGTTGACTTCCGGACAGAGGATGGCACAGCCAATGCCGGCTCTGACTATGAGTTCACCGAAGGGACTGTAGTCTTCAAGCCAGGGGAGACCCAGAAAGAAATACGGGTTGGCATAATTGACGATGACATTTTCGAGGAGGATGAGAATTTCCTGGTCCATCTCAGCAATGTCCGTGTGAGCACTGAGGCCTCAGATGAAAGCATTCTCGAGGCTGGTCGTGTCTCAACGCTCGCTTGCCTTGGCTCACCATCTACTGCTACTGTCACCATCTTTGACGATGATCACGCTGGCATCTTTACCTTTGAGGAGCCGGTGACGCACGTCAGCGAGAGCGTGGGGACCATGGAAGTGAAAGTTCTGCGAACCTCTGGCGCGCGAGGAAATGTTATTGTGCCCTACAAAACCATCGAAGGGACGGCCAAAGGTGGAGGAGAGGACTTTGAAGACACCTGTGGGGAGCTGGAGTTCCAGAACGATGAGATAGTGTAAGTGAAGAGGTTTTCTTGTTTGTTTGTTACTTGTGAAGTCTTCCCCCCCAAAAAAGTTAAACGCACGTGGCTCCCAAGGTGTACCAAGGGGTGCGGGTGCCAGAGTGTTGTAGCAAGCCCTGGATGGCCTTGTGTGCTTCAGGGGGTCTGAACTGCTGTGTTCCTGCTTTGCTAGCGAACAGTGGTGCTTGCTTGGGGCACTCCAGCCCAGCAGCAGGGAGGTGGGACTGGTCTGCAAGCCCAGCTTCCTCCATTGAACCCACCTGCCGAGCACACACCTGGTGGGGACCAGAACTGAGGTGGCTGCTACCTCCGAGCAGCAGCCTGTCCTGCAAAAAGCCTAGGCCGAGTCTTTGAATTGGGTTACGTCCTTTCTGGTGCCTATTGAGGGTCAGCTCGGCCTGCTCCACTGGTGCTCCTTTGGAGGAGATCCCTTCTTCTCCTCTTTTTGAGGAGGCTGCAGGCCTGGGTTGTTGTCTAACGCATGTCCTGAGTAAGCCTTGTCACACAGAGAAGGCTTTTGTGAAAACCACCCTGTTTGGTGGTTTTCAAAGAGAAAAGCGTCTGGAAGCTGTTGGAGGTTACTCCCAAGTGCTACTGGATGGCTAGTAGAAAAAGAGCTTGTGCTGCAGCCTCGTTTATCACATTATGTGGAGAATGTGAACTAGCCCAAGAAATTGCGGCAGATAATATCTATCCTCAGGTATTTCCGAAGGAGACATCCTTGGTTATAGTTCTGGGGGGAGCATTGGGCCGGAGACCTATTGCTCCAGCCAGAGGGTCTCCCCAAGTGAAGCCCACCTGTAGGGTAGTCCTGATGGCAGCAGACTGTGTGGCACAGCACTGCTGTGTAGGACTTCCAGGGGTCCCTAAGAAATAGCATGGCTGCTGCAAAGGAGGGCTAAGGAGGGCTAAAGCTTGGCTTGGATGTGCCATCTCCTGTGGGTGGCCTCTTAGGAGCCAGGGCATGTCCCCAGGCAGCGCACACTGGCCTGAGGCCCTGTGCGCTGCCCTCATCTGCTCCGTGTGTACAGGGAGAAGAAAGCAAATGGAAAAATTGCCTTTTTTTTTTTTTCTGGTGGGAGAAATTAAAACGCCGTTTGTAGTTGTCAGGCAGGGTGTTAGGAGAGCAGACAGGTGTTGGGATTTTTGCTTCTCAGAAGTGGGCGAGACTTGAGGCAGTCTGGAGGCCCCGCCAAGGCGAGGAGCGCGCAACGTGCTCTTGTTCCTGGGCTGAGCTCGTGAGCAGCGACTCCGCTACAGTTATTTGAGCTTCTTCTTTTGGGGAGAACCACGGAGGTGCCTGCGGAGGGGAAATGAACTAGGCCACAAGGACATCCCCTAAAGGCTCGTTGCTTTGTAAGCAGGTTGTTCCAAGCAGTAGTGAAACTGGGCTGACATTCGGCTTCAGTTCCCTTGTCGGGCTGCCCTGGCGCCTTGGAGCCAGCTCTGCTGCAGTCTCTACCATCCTTCAGCCATGGGTGCCTCCAAATGGGTGGTGTGTGCCTTTTCCTTCCCAAAACTCCTCTTTCCTTTCCTTACCAGCTGTCTGCATGCAAGAAGCAAGGAAGAAGTGGGGAAAGCAGCTTTCTTCAAAACTGGGGAGTGCTTTTTTTCTGTGCAGATGCCAGTGCGTTGCCATCACATCATGCTGTCTTTAAGCCATCTGCTATGGGTGGGATAGTTCTTGGGAAACGGAGGCTGTTTTGGGAGCCCACAGGCATGGGAGGAGGTGGCCCCGGCCCACTGCAGGGCCACGCATTGGGCAAGGGGCAGCTCCACGCAGGTAGAAAAGGGCACACGTGGTTCGCTCGAGCCGTAGGTGGACTTTCGAGCTGAAGGCTGTTTGCTGTGGCACTGCTTCAGAGGAATCACAGCTGTGTAGCGTGGTGCAACTCCTCCCAGCAATATCTGATGTGCTGTAATTCAACGAGTTTGAGTTCTCTCAAACTCGTTGCCCTGGCTCTCTGACCAGGGGATGGCTTTGCTGACCTGTCCAAAGGTCTTTGCCACCTCGTTGGCTCCAGCACTCAAGGTTGCAGGGCTTAGATCGATGAGAATTGAGTGGGATGTTCTTCTCTAGCAGCAAGGGAAGGGGGACAGTGCGAGCTTCTCTGTTGGAGCCCTGGCTCAATGGAAAGTCCTCATAAAATTAGAGGCACTGGGAAGACCCCGGTCTTCTGGAGATCTTGCTGCTCCCGGATGGCCCAGTTATGTAACGTGTTGTTTGCTAGTGGTGTCTGGGGAGGCTTCCCCATTTTGCAATCTGTTGATGCCTCCTTTCCCAGAGCAAAGAGCTAGGGAAGAGCCTTTCTCTGGAAACAGGTATAGAGAGCTGATGCTATCTGAGGAGCAGCACGATGGTGGAAAAGCAGCCCTCTGTGCAAAGAGGCCGTTCTTGCTTCTCAGGTGCAGCTCATGCCTTGGACAGGAGCGTGTTTCCACCCTCCACCCTTTTTGTTTGTTTGTTTTTGTTTTGTTTTAACCTGCAATGCTTTTGCAACTATCCCCTTTCCCTTAATTCTGCATGAATTAGGTGAACTCCCGTCTTTATCAGCTTCAGAGATGTTACAAGGAAATACCTGGGCAGCCGGTTCTACTGACATTTCACCTTGTAATTCGTATTTCATTCTGTCCTGTTTAACCAGCTTGGTGAAGGAGCCCTCTGATGCCCTTAGGGAGAGAAATTCTTGGCCTGCTGAAATGGGCTTTTCACAGCTGCTTTGGGCATTTCTCTGGAAGCCAAACACCATCAGGGGCACAAACACCAGCTAAACTCTTCCGAGCTTTTTGGGAAAATGTCACCTTGTCCCCAGAGACAGCACATACTCCCTCCCGAGAGCCACACGAAAATGTCATGGTCAACCAGAGCAGATTCGGGGGTGGGAGGAGCAGGAACAAAACAGCGCTTGTCTTTCTTTCCAGTTGTCCTTTGCTTTTCCAAGAGGCATTGGATGAAGGGTTTCTAAAGCCACAGCACCAGGGAAGGGCTGACTTGGCGCCAGGACTGGCTTGGTGTCGTGTTTGTGCCGTGCAGCTTCCAAGAGGGAAAAGTGCCCCCGGCAGCAGGGTGGTGGGGAGGGTGTCTCCGAGGTGATGCTGCTGTGAGCAGGGCTGGTGTAGATGGCTTTAGGAGGAGGGAAACCCGTTCTGGACTTGAGGGTAGAAGCTCCCTGTGAAGGCGTCTCCTCTACAACGCGAGAGGATGGAGATGTCCATGTGTCGCAACGTCTTGCGGTTCCAGCTGATCCTCCTCTTGGCAGGGCAATGCCGGTGGGTGCAGTGCTGCTTTCTGCCATCCCGGTGGCACTTGGAGGTCTGGCTTGGACAGGGTTGTCCATGAAGGAGACGCGGCGACTCAGTCTCGCTGCATCCCTGGGGCAGCAGGGATTAGGATGGAGCACACGGCATCGGCAGATGGCAGAGCACCAGGATGGAGGATAGCGAGGACGAGAGCGGTGTGCTCCAGTTGAGGGACCGGTGTGGCTTTTGTCCTTGGAAAACTAATGTTTCCTTATTTGTAACGAGCTGTTGTTGGCAATTTCCTGCTTCCAGCTGCATCTCTGTGGTGAAGTAAGGGAGTTTGGAGCTTAAATATGTAATAATGCTCCGAAAGCCATTGCGAGGCAGTTATTAGTTGCATCAGGGTCTGCGTAAACATCTACTATGTGCCTTTATGAAAAGGCTGCCTATTAGGTGCACTGTAGTCATTCGTAAAGCACCGCGTCTCAGCTTGTTTTATGGCATCCAAGCAGCAGCCCTGGTGATGTTTGGCAGCAGGGGAAAGGCTGGTCCTGGTGCACAGGGCAGCTGCCCAGGTCCTCGCTGGGGACAAGGGATGGCTGGGGGCAGGAGAAGCCCCCATCCCATCTTTGCAGACCCTTGGCACGTGCTCGCGTGACACTGGCAGCACGGGCTCCCCCATCAGCCTCGGGCATCACTGGGAGTTAAGGTCAGTGCTCCTTGGGCCATAACCATCGCTTAGCTCGAGGATATCTATCTTGGGAGATAGCAAACCCACTACTAATAATGTTTGTGGCACTGACTTTGTCCTGGCTTCCAAGAATGGCAGTGCTAGATCCTGGGTGACGACAAATAATAACGGCATTCGCGGTTTTAAAAATATCTCAGTGTAAGAGAGAAAATATTCCCACCGCTGTGCAAGCACAAGGGTGACCAGCATCTGTCTCCTCCATCCAGTCCCTATATGGTGCCATTTCCATAGTGGCTGGACTCCTTCCTACATAGCCAAGGCAACAACAAAACGTGCCTGGCAAGGAGAAACAAAGTGGTGATGAAAAGTCAGGGCCCGGAGCGCATCCTCGTGTAGCGGGCGCTGGATGGGGAGAGATGGAGCCGATAGCGCACGTGTGCCCGGTGGGACAGTGCAGGGGACAGTCTGCCACGTGCAGATGCTCCCTGATGGATAAACACGGAGGTGGAGATGGGCTGAGAGGAGCCCAGGGCTTCCCCCTCCTCCCGCCTCCCAAAAAACAGTGAATTAAAAAGATCAATTTGCTCTGAGGAGCTCTTTTTCAAGCTCTGTTGAGTAATGGTACTTGCTTCCATGAGAGCAAAATAATTACAGGTTGAGGCGTCGCAAACTATTTGGAGTAAAAATAAATCGATCCGTTAAAGTGCTCATCAGCGCCTCAAACTTTGCAGATGGAGCTCCTCTCGGGTTGAGGGTGCTGGTAGCTCAGCTCCTCTGCCCACCGGGCTCGTCAGCAAGAGTGTCCCCTCTCTGGCTCGCGGTGCACGGTGTCCAGTGCCACGCTGCAAGCTAAGGACAGCTCTGGTTTGAAAATGCAGCGTGGGGAAACCCTCCTGTGCTGAGCCTGGAAGAAGGAGCCTCCCCGAAGGGTGGGTGGGATGCACAGGGGCCTCAGTTGCCACCCTTGGAAGCAACAGAGCAGGGCTCATCCAGACTAGGTCTCCTGTTTCAGCTGCAAGAGCCTGGAATAAATCACCATGTTATTTGCAAGGACATCAGAGAT